GTTTACAGATGTTAAATATAGATTAACTTTGTTAACTATCGTTCACAGTCCATAAACTATAGTTTACAACCGATAAATCTAGTTTATCGACTGTGAAACTATGGTTTGCTCATTTTTGTGAATTTGGCGTGTCATATCTATCTCCTATACGGTTCAAAAGTTATGGCGAAAGTTCAAAAAAGCTATTTTTAGCACATAGGTCACAGTCAAGGTCACAAGGTCATTGATCTTGATGTCATTTGAAATAGCTAAGTTAGTGGAGCATACGTAACAAATAAGTCTCTATCTCTTAAGGGTCAAAAGTTATCGCTAAGGTTACAGTTGACAAGAGACATACAGATAGACATACATACGCTCCCGATCTATATACTGTATCGATATATCTAGTATATCGATCCGGGCTTATAAAAAGAAATAAAATAATCTGAAAGTTATGACATTTCTCTGAATTTAAGCAGAGTGGTTAAAGGTATCTTATATATTCAGAAAATGAAATAAAAAGTGGGGGTTGTTATATTAATTTTCAGGTATAACTAAAATAGTGCTAATCAATCGCATTGTAGGACTCCAGATCGTCGGAGTTCAAGCTGGAAAACTTTACGGTGACTCCAGACAAGGAAATCTATGTAAGAAATATGGCGAAGGTTGAAAATCCTATCAAAGGCAAATATATACATAATCAAACTGGAAAGGAAATACAGAATTTCACTGATGTACAGTTTAATATCGCTCATCCAATTTACAAATCACCTCCCGAGGGGATTGGAATTTTGTGGAATTTTGGAGATAATACCATAACAACGGAGACTCTACGGAGCTTTTCGAAGGTCCATAGGTATACCAGTCGTGGACAATATAATTTCTCGGCAACATTTGCAATGGGGAGTGAATCTTACAAAACAAACGGAACTATATATATTGGAATAATTCAAGAATTTTCGGTTTCTCCTTATAACGTTACCGTAGGGCACGACGCACAATTCTCCATAACCGTTTACGGTGATTTAAAAAATCAAGTATTGCGTTATGACTTTTACAACGATTTTGGTATAATGATCTCTACGCCATCTGCAAACGGTAATTATACATTTAGGAAGCCATACATTCATATACCTTATGTACGCGTTACTCTTTTAAACGAGACTACGGAATACGCTTATTCAACCACCCAACTGGCGGTGGACTACGATTTGTCCGGTGGCAGTTTAATATTAACCTCTGGTAACAACCCTGTCAGTCTGCCCCCTGGGTCTAACACATTATCGCTGCAGGGTCTACTTGGTGATGCAGCAACTGAATTCACTTGCAATATATCGACAGGTGATAAACTAAACCGGACTCAATTTAGTTACGATTTAGTTGAATCCAAAGAAATTTCCATATCAATCTCTTATAAACATGATTCTCTTGGAACAATGACATCTACAGCTCACTGTTATAATAGCATATCAGAATTAAGAACTAACCTGACTTTGGAAGTCGTTAATCCATGTTTCCGAATTAATGAGCGCTTCGATAGACAGTATTCTATGCCAGATACTCCACTAGAAGCTTCCGTCACAGAGGACTTGATAATATTCTCAAGGAGCGTGATAAACTGTGAAGAAATGGGATCACTGGACTGGACTGTGGAATATGCCGACATCCAAAGTCGGGGTATTATCTACACGAACGTAAATTTTAAAAATCTAGCAGATCCGTTGACAAATGTGATGCTGATTCCAAAATATTCACTAAAGCCTGGCTTATACAAGATAACAAGCCTCATTTCCGTAAAAGATACATGGCTTGAAGAATATACCTTTGTTAAGTTCACTCTTCCGCCCCCGACAGCTTTCATTGAAGGCGGTGACTCTGTGAGCGCAAAGGGGAATACATATACCGAAATAATCCTTAATGCGGTAGATGTCTCGTATCAACAGGAAATAGGAGATGGAGGAGGACTGACGTACAGCTGGACTTGTCGCAGGTAAACAGGAAGAGCACTTATTAAACCGAAAGTAACCATAAATGAATTATTTTTGCATATATTAACAGAAAATCAAATGATTTGAATTTAATTGTCAATATTTAACACCTAGCAGTTCCCCCTTAGGAAAACTATTCACACACAAAACAATACCAGTGAATAGAAATCACTGCTTTTTACTTCGTTAGAGATTGTCGCCCACATGGCGCAGTGGTTAGAGCGTCTACTCTAGAGTCGCGAAGTACGGAGTGATATACGTTGCGGGTTCGAATCCCACTGTGGGACGTGGAGGCCGGTCCTTCGGATGAGCCGTATAAACGGAGGTACCGTGTCGCAGTAGGTCCCTCCCTGTTCAATGGCCCTGAGCGCCGAGTATAGGACAGAATTTGCAGCTGTCCAGCGGCAAGTGGTGGCGTCTCCATATGAGTGAAAAATTCTCGAAAGGGACGTTAAACGATATACAATCAATCAATCCATAGAGAATTACATGTAAACAGTGTAAACACCAAATTCAATTACTAGTAATTTATCTTGGCGTTTTAAACTGTTAAGTATACTTGAATTAAATACCTTTAACTTTCCTCAATATTTATATCAAATTGTTTTTAAATTGTAAGACATTCTGTTCAACGCCAGCAAATCACAGAGCTTTAAGTCGTTATAATGCTATATGCTGAAACAATAAACTTTTAAATACATGTTTGAAACTGAATACTTTATTTTACATTCAGATCTGACGGCGTAACGTTCACACAAGGCTGTGGGGGCAGTAGCGGTAAATGGACACTACTACTGGACACATATAACTCCTATGATGTCACTGTAACAGTGTCAAACCAGCTGTACTCTACAAGTTTTACTCAAAGGATCTTACGAGTCAATCCGGACATCCCTGTTGTCTCCTTAAGGTACGTGTCAGTGAGAAGGATTAATATTAGTTTCAGGGGATGTTTAATCCTCCATGGCACCTAATATTTCCGTCTTTTATCTAGGTGCCTCTCTAACTGTGGACAAAAAGCTGTTGTCTCGAGAAGAACTATTTATAGAGTCTATTGCAAGAGATGCAAGGGTTCACGCAAAAACTACCAGTATTCATGGTTTCTAGAATTCCATAACTCGACAGGAAGTAATATAAGAATAGAAGAAGAGAAACTGAGGAAAATGACATTGAACTATGGTAGTTGAATAAATCTGTTTAAAATTCATTAACCAAATATAGGTTGATATACATGTAGGTTCCACTGATGAAATACTAACGAGTTTATTATATTAAGGTTTTTTTCTTACAGAGATACATAAAAGAATCATCATCATCAAGGAGGGTGTGCTTAAAATAAATACTACGTATACATTATCTGTAACTCAAAAACGCGTGTGGTCCAACTGCAAAAGATTTTTCTTCTGGCATTGGTGTAACACAAGATTTGATGATCCAAGTCATGTTTCGGTTACATTTGAAACCGGAAGTCCTCCAGTTTCTGGAACTTGTCAAGTGGTTCCCTCATCAGGTAAAATGTACAAATCACGTTGTCATAATATTAATATAATTTTCTATAGATAATAAGGAAAAGAAACTTTAAAGCATTATACATGTCTTCTGAAAAAGTAAATACAAAATCTAAGCAGTCAGAGAAATCTGGGATTAAGCCGGAACTTGATCTGAACAGCCTTATCACGTGTCATTGACAGGCGCGGATCATCAAATCAAAATCGTTGTTTTGCGTCTCGTTTGATCTGATGATCTGCGCCACTCAACACGATGTGATACAGATCTTCCTATCAAGTTATTATTATAATTTATTTCAACTTTCTGGAAAGTAGGGTGCAAGACCATTAACATTTCATGTACACCCAAGACAAACGATAAAGAACATTTATGAATAGATATACTCTATAGCATTCCTCACACAAAAAAACGTGTAGGTATTAATACGCTACAACTATTTTCGTTCATAGGCTGTTGGAAAAATATTGATGAAAGCGAAAAATGCACTCGATTTTTTCTTTAGGCCAAAATAAAAAATACTCTTGTTTCCTGTCACCCAACCTACCCTACATCTTACCCTCCGACCCTAAAAGTTTTTATTACATTTTCATTTTTGGGGTGACTATTTTCCTAAAATACTAAACAAATGCTTAAGTCGACCGACAATGTTTATAGAAATAATACATCACAAGTGTACAGGATACCTTTACTTTATAAATCTTGATCAACAAACTTGCTTTGTAAACTGTTTACATATCGTTTCTTGTTATTACATGCTATATATGTTCTGCGTTCATTCAGTTTCGAAAATAAAATTTTTTCTCAAATTAAATTTTTTTTCCTACCTACCTACCCTAATTTTTTAGGTCAGGGGACAGGAAACAAGAGTATATTTTCTTTTGGCCTTATCTCTTTCAGGATATGCAATGACTACTGAATTTAGAGTAAACTGCACTGGGTGGAAAGCTGGAAACTCTGATAAGGAAAATCATCATCAACCACTGTTGTACATTTACAAGGCCCTTATCTATCAGAAGAATGGGAAAATGATAACACGTTTCTCTACCACTCTCTACAGTGGATGTAAGCAAGCTCTCTCTCTCTCTCTCTCTCTCTCTCTCTCTCTCTCTCTCTCTCTCTCTCTCTCAAGGGACACCCCTTGCCCCTTTCATTCACCACTTTCTGCATTTGCAGTTGATCCCAGTCTTGCTTATTATATACATCTAACTGAGGACAAAATTGTTCAATTTTAGCCCTTATCTACATTAAATCTGAGATTCCTTTAATTATTTCAAATATTTTGTATTAACTGTCTATCCATAACCAAAGCACTGCCATGTTATAAATCTTGAATCAAACATTAGAGTGGATTTAATATTTAAGTCATTGGCCTTGATATTATTTTTTTTTCTCTTGATTTAACGCCAGTATATCACAGAGCTTTAAGTCATAATTATAGTACCTATTAAATTTATTCCTTATTTTATTTTCAATCATCGATGTAAAAAGTAAGACAATTTTTCCTTCAAAAATGCCTTTAAATTGTATATTTTAAGCGGATTGGTACGATATTGACTTGCCATTATTACGTAGGCAACATAGGTTAAACGATATACTATATAGTAAAAAAAAAATTTCCAATCGAATGACGTAACAACCAAAATTTTAAAATTATACATTAAATTCATATGTGCACATATATACATGTGTACTTGTAAAATTCATGCTGAAACTATTTTAATGAAAGATGAAAGCTCAGTTGGAGATTTGAAATTGCCGACGGGACCCAAAGAGCATTTACAGATTGTAAAAATAATGGTGGACGTCGTGGATCACCTTGGAGAAAGGAGTGACTGGTCACAGAATGTAGTGGTATTTTTTTTAATACATTGCAATATCAAGACACGAGACCGAAAAAAAAATTAGTCTGTCTCAGCAATCCCATTTTCAAAAAATATTTTAGAATAGAACTTTGGAATTAAACTTGATTTCACGACCATTCATTATAAAAAAAATTTTTCTGCAAGGTTTATCCAATGCATGTAAATTCAACATGGGACGATGGTGATAAATTTGATAATCTCTGTCAAAAATTTGAGAGTTTGAATATTCAGGAGAAGAGGAATAGGAATTACCTGTCACAGCTTCACCTCATGATAGCTGTCTCCTCAATGTTCATCAACATACCACCGGTAAGAATACGGTAAAAAAGTAAAATAAGTAAAAAAGGTAATGAAATATTTTGTCAATATGTTATATAATTCTCTATTAAATCATCCCAAAAATCCTTATACCAAAAGCAACCCAAAGAAATAAGGAAAAAACCCAAACAAACAAACAAATTATGAAATCATAACACTGTGTGCGAGAAAAACTAGATGATTTATGTGTTTATCAAATGGTTATGATCACATTGGGTAGGTACATAAAAACACTCAAGACTTGTTATGTAATGTGGAATCTGATTAATGTATCTATATGATATGTTCACATATATACACAATATTCAACTATTCCACTCTCTTTGAAATAAATGGTAAATTTTCCCGGTGTCATTGTGGTAATAAGGACCCTCTCTACTCTAGTGCAAAATTTTTCCGGACATTGTTATTATTAAGTTTATCTACTCAGTTTTCATGGTACTTGGCATTAAACCAAGGATAAATAACCAAACACAACACAGTACAGTGAATAGAAATCACTGTTGTTTACTTCTATTGAGAAAATACATGTTTGAAATCACATGTCAACGTTTTGCAAAAATCCACAATATAAAAGCTAACGACTTTTCAACTTTAATATATACATCTATTCCCAAAGATAAACACAAGTCCAAGCTTTTTAGCATCATTGATAGCTCGTTAATAAAAATAGAACCCGTAAATTTTCGTAGTTTGTCATTGATCATTTGCAAAATAGTATTATTTAAACATTCTAATTGTACACGCGAGCTAAGAACTCCGGTCTCCGAAGTTGATATTGAAAAGATGCTCGAGTTTCTGTGTGGTTTTTGGAAGCCAGGTCTTCCAAGAATCTATTGAATTTCCATTGGGTACCAATTCCGCTCCATTAATAGCAGACTTATTTATTCATTTGAAGCAGTATTTGTCTAAAAAAAACTTATATTTGAAAAAAAAATACAATCATGTGGCCTTTAACTCGATATTTAGATACATGTATATCGACAACGTATTTTCAAATATATTTCCATTCTTAGATTGACAGGATATATCCCGGTGAGAATGAAATAATATACCATAAGATAAATAAGATTTGTGTCTTTAACTAGAAATAAATGCTTACCTAACAACAAAGCTTTATGATATACGTGATGATTTTAACTTTTCAATCGTCAGTTTTACTAACTTATTTAGCAATATTCCTTTCTAACTTGCATTACGAGTTTATATCTCTCAGTTGATTCGATATGTAAGAGCATGTTCTGCGTATGAACAATTTATAAAATTTGTCTCTTACATTATGCTGAATAAAATCGTATACGTAGAAATTTTAGCGAGGATTTAATTTTGACATTATAGATAGTTTTCGATGGACCTAAATTTAGCAAAAGTTACCTCCCGTTGGTCGCCATATTGGAGGTCGACTCGGTGAGTTTTCCTCATTGTCTTACCAAGTTTAAGAAAATATAGCAGAAATATTTGGTTGAAAATCTTTATTAAATATTTTTTTTTTATATAAAGGAGGCTTCCAAAAATTTATATACTTCAGAAAAATAATGATTCCTAATTAAAAATCGCAATTATGAAAATTTAAAAATGGTTGAACAATGAAGCAATATGAGCATTTGGACCTCCAGTATGGCTGCCAACGGGAGGTAACTTTTGCTAAATTTAGTTCAAGTGAAAACTATCTATTAGCGAGGCTGTTGAGATTGCTAAAATTGAATATCGCTAAAAATAAATCGCATGCTATTTGTACTAGCTTCTTAAGTGAGTATTTTAAAATCGCTAAATTACTTCTGGCTAAAAAATAAACAGTTTTGAAGGAGAAATCGCTAAATTGCGTCTCGCTAAAATTTCCACTTATACGGTACATTCTGACTTACCATTGATCTACAAGTAGCCTAGCACCGTGACTGGCTGAGCACATAGCTGTAGTAACATTGACTTCAGAGTAAAGTTTAAATTCAACATGACACATCGATCCTTACACATTTCACAGGTGATAACTCAAAAGTAGTCAGAAATAAAAATCATCAAAGATAAATAGATCATCTATAATTGTATGATTTAAGCAAGCCTCGCGAATATACTCCATTTCAAGTCGTTGGATAAAGCAAATATAGAACCACACAGTAGAGATGACCTCTCTCTCTTAGATTTGATATGATTTACAATTGTTCTTGAAACCCTACCGGTATATAACGTTTATGACTTTATATCACGTTAGGTGGATACTTCTCCTGTTGGTATAGAGAGGATCCTGAGCTTACCAGTTTCTAATGATGTAAGTATTTCTGATAGAGAGGAACTAAGTCAACTAACGATCTAAGTATTTCTGATAAATATCTGATAGATAAGATATTGAGCTTGTCAAATTCTAACAACGCAAGTACAGTAAAACTCGGTTAGTATGAACACGGATATTGCGAATTCACGGATATAGCGAAGACATCTTTGATCCCCAGCTACATAAATTTAATGACTTTCTTACAAGGTTATAACGAATTACGGATATAGCGAAGTAATTTCATAAATCCCAGTGAATTCGTTATAACCGAGTTTTGCTGTATTTCTGAAACTTAAATTCTTATACAAATTCCTGTTTTCATAATCAACTAATCAAGTTTGAAGACATCATTCTTTTATTGTTTCAGACTAATCCATTTTTGGATGACTTGTTAATCGCGAGATATTCTGAGGTAAGTGTTGTTCAACTTAATAGGTTTGTCTTAATCACAAGTTAAAGAATATTTTATTTGAAAAACTTGATAAGCGTTCAGTTTTTTTAATATCAGTATCTCGTCAATTTAAACTTTTTGCAAAAGTGTTTTTTTTCAAAAGGACATAAATGAAACATTAATTGACTATTAATCTTGTACTTATAGAAAGTAGAAGAGCTGCTTGGAAATATATCGAATATCGTGGAAATTATAGACGGCGCCACCAACCAATCAATGCTCACTCACCAGATGCTAAATCTGATCACGTGGACGATGCATTCTCTAACTCGACATTCCCAGTATATCAACGAAAATTCAATAGTATGACATGAGAAATTATAGCTATTCCCAATTATATTAGTGCAGTATCTTCGATGGCAGAGGATAGTTTCGAATAAATTACCGGTCAAAAAATAGAAAAAATAGAGAAACCTGAAGTTTGAATGCATATTATAGGTAATTTTATTGCTAGAATATTTTATGGGTGCATTTGGAGGGAACTGGTGGCCTTGTATATTTTATTGAAATATGACACTTTAGTGTCACTACTACTGTATATGGGATATGGACTAGAAATACGAAACTAAGCTCAAAACTCGCTCTACCGGTATTTCACCAGAAAAGCGGGGTGGGTTCACAGGATGAATTGAAGCTTGAAAACGAGGTGGTTGAGCCATTATCTCTTGCTGTTCATTGTTATGTACAAATGTTATTCTGCAATTTGTGTGGTAGCTTAAGTCAGGCGCACGGGCCTGGAAGCAGGTGCGGCTGCGGCGAAATATGAAAATAGGCTTGATTCACATGAAATTTTGAGATTGTCCCTGCGCCATCTTTAGGGCTCATTGTGTAAGTTGTACATGTTTTATTCCTAAAAGCTTCAAATTTCTCAAGGGACAACATCATACTATTATTACATGTAGAGGGAATTTAAAATTTTTCAATGCACATTTTTAAAGCAGCTCAATATTAAGTAAACCGTCAGTCAAACGTTTTGATTGCAAAAAAAACTATCCTCTGCCACCTTCCACTCTCTGCTCATATCTCCAGTCGTACTCTAATTTATTCGTTTACTGAGCAGTCGTACTCTAATTTATTCGTTTACTGAGCGACTATTCGGTAGATTTTGCGTCAATACGTATGCTACTGGATCGATATCTCAATATGAATATTCCTTATCAATCTCATTGAAACTTACTTCTTTTATTTTAAGAATTTCTTTTATATCATTTAGGTCGATAACACAGTATTTCAATGTCATTCCAGGACAACGTTCAGAAACACTTGCATAAAAAGAAAATTCCTTCCATATTGGTTTATATTATATATTGAACTATTTTTTTTAATCATTTAGCATGTAATTTTGGGGATATTTCGACGGTTTTCATTACGAATAAAAGAAAATTTTAAAGTGCGACCTTTCATGATGAAATACAAAGGAATTATGAATGATTCAGTCAAAGGTATGTTTGTAACTGTCCTTTCATATGAATTCATCGGTACAGCTACATGTAGATGTTTTCTTTTACATACAATTAGAAACGTTGGGGAAAAAATTAAGTATTTAAATAAATATTTATTTCAGTTTTTGAATCATTTCAACAGTAGTTGCGTTACGTTATGAAGAAGAAACGTCAAGCTTGTAGTGTATTGTTCCTACTTTCTACTACTGTATATTTTTTTTACCACTTTTTCCTTCTTTAGGCATGGTGAGTGTTTTACAATCTATATTTTTCCAAATCCATGCAATTGATGATCGGGCTAAACGCAAGGATATTGATACGAAGTTATGGGAAAAGTCACGAACCCAAAACTGTGAAAGAAATTTAGAAGAATTTCTTCAGCTCACAGAAAATACAACTTCTCTGGTATTTATTATTTAGAATTAACATTGATTATGTGTCATTTATTTTTTTTATTACATATGTATCATTATAAACAAGAATTACAAGAAAGGGAAAAAGAAGTTTTTGGAAAAGTAAAATGGATGCACACCTTCTATTTAGAATATATATATATATATATATATATATATATATATATATATATATATATATATATATATATATATATATATATATATATATATATATATATATATATACCGTATAAGTAGAAATTTTAGCGAGGATTTAATTTTAGCATTATTAGCGAGGCTGTTGAGATCGCTAAAATTGAATATCGCTAAAAATAAATAATGTATTATTTGTACTAGCTTCTTTAGTGGGCATTTTAAAATAACTAAAATTACTTCTCGCTAAAATTCAATTACAAGTTTTTAAAGAGAAATCGCTAAATTTGCGTCTCGCTAAAATTTCCACTTATACGGTATATATATATATATATTAGGGATGTCAACGAGTACCCGGTTAAAGAGTATCGAATACTAAAATCGGTACTCGGTTACTCGGATATATATATTTTTGAATATTTCTAAGCTTATTTTTTAATGCATTAAACAATCTGTTTTAAAACGTAAAATACTCATTGCACTTGTACATACAGTAATTAGGGTTTCTTACTCCACTAAATGACCGTTATTGCCCGTGGCAGTGTTTATACAGTAATTATCGTGATCAAGCACCTGTTACCTGGCTTTCCTCACCTTTGCTTGTCTTCTACCCTTATTTAATGATTTGCTAAATATTTGTTTTCACTGAACATCGTTTAAGGTCTGTTATGATTGAATAAATTAGACAATTTTGTCAATTCTCCGAGAAGCCGTAAATTCTCGGGAAAAGAGACAGGTCTATGATATTACACGCGCGATTGTTGATATGGTTGTGTTTGATTACTTGCCAATACATGTACAAATGGTTGAAGACAAAGGCTTAAAAAAAACTGATTTCCATCGTTGCACCAAACTACAAAATACCGTACGTCCCGTAATACTATAAAATATAGGATCGAAAAGTGTACAAAAATCGTAAATCCGCTCTGTCAGAACTTGGTCAAGTTCAAGTCAAACTGTACGACTGATACCTGGACGTCAAACGCAACAAAGAGTTACTTTACAATTACGGAGTAGATTATTTAAAAAAAAAACCATGAATCACTAACGATTTTATTTCTTGTGTTTATCTGATAAATAAATTGAACTTTAAAAAATGTTGCATGAAATTTCGTCGGGCACGAAGTGCTCATCATTGTTTCAACAGAAATGCATTAACGGGTAAACCTCCTATTAGAACATATTGTTTTTTTCTATAAGAGTTTACAATGTTTTACATTCATCAATTTACTTGTTCATATATATTTACACTTTTACCGAGTACCCGGGTACTCGATCGGAAAAACGTCCGAGTAACCGAGTATTAAAAATTGACCGATTTGACATCCCTATTATATATATATATATATATATATATATATATATATATATATATATATATATATATATATATATATATATATATATATATGTAAGTAAAAGTTAACATTGGATAATAAGTGGGGGTTTTTTTAATTAAAAGGTGTAGTTTAGAGGCAAAGACAGACCCTAATTGCAATATTGTCTCATTTTGCAGTTGATATTAGCTTCAATGTAGGTATTATTGTAACCTCATCAAAGTTTTAAAAATATATCCAGTGTCTGATTTTCTTTATTTCTAATTATATTTCGCCTGGTCTTTTTTTGTCAAGCTGGCCCAAAGCCTTAGTGACCTTTCAGCAAGGGTCTTCATCACTAAGTCAAATTCAAACTGTCTTGTTCATGATAATAGACTTTATTTACACACTGAATTGTCTTCAGGATTTTCAGTTTTTTCTCGATCATGACAAGGAGCACATTGCTTGTTTATGCGATCGGAAGGGGATGCTGACTCCTCAATGGTACCTGATCCCGACTCTGATGTTTTTGAGACCTCTACTTGCTCGGCGTCCAATGTGTATTGTCTAAATGAGTTTGAGCTTGAATATTGTTCGCTATCTCCCTATTTCATTGCAGATATTGCTAGTATATTTTGCGTATGTATTTCTGGTGATAAGACTAACTTTTGTGTACCAACACAATTCATTGTAAAATGTCAAATTTGTATGGAATTCTGTATTGCCTAACAAGTAAATTAATTCGATAGCATAATTTTTTTTAGAAAGAAACTTTTCAAGGTGGGATAGAGGAAGTGATTTCTACATTACAACAAGCTTTGTTGTCTGTTCTTGTTTCTGGAGAGGGTGAGGTATCGGTAAACTTTGGGCAGGCTACAATGAGTGTCGAGAGAACGGATCTGGGAAACAAAACTAACGGAATGGAGAATGTGATCCCAACGCTGGAGATGGAGGAAGAAATAGTATGCGAGGTATGTTCTTCCCTTCTTTCTTGACTTTGAAATAAAATATAATCGCATGTTTTTTTTCTGCCCGTCCGATAACTGTATTTGGATTATAAAACAACACACACATTGCATGATGCACATAGACGTTTATGTAATTAATCTTTTCATTTTTTAAAGAATGAAACTTATTTTAACTTATACGATATAACATAACTTGGGGCAGTTTACGGTTTATAAATCGCGAAGTCTCTCCTAATCTCCTGATTCCTCCAATTGGCAATTTAAGTTATAGTTTAGGTCAAAGTCTCCCATTCTTGATTGTTTACAAATAGCAGAGGCAACATAAATTACATCAATAAAAATGTCCCCCATGTAATAGTTCTTTTCATTTTTGTGTCGTTTATTTAAGACATATGCAAAAGAAAAATAGCAAAAAACAAATTAATTATACAAAGTATTTATTGTTTTCAGATTTTTTGTAAGATTTCCGTTAGATTTCAAGTGAAATTTAATTATTTAAAGATAAAAAGTCTTCGTAATTATGTCAGTTTTGTTAATATAACTTTTGTGCATTCCTGAATTCATGATTTTGATAATAAAATTAAAGTACCAACAATATGTGCCAGCTAGATTCTACATGTTTTACCAGAACTCACGAAAGAGATCGTTTACAGATCTATTTAATGAACATGTGAACGATAGGATGTCATATCTTTATAAGTGACAATGAAAAAAGATTAAAGAAGAGGCTAACAATTGCAAAAAGAAATCTAACATTAAATAAAGCATTATACACAATGTTTTTAATGAAATAGATTAATAAATGCGGTACTTTAAATACTAGTTGTAGAGGCACTAATCTTGTGCATAAAAATGTTTCTGTCCATAACGCAAAATTACAAATTTCATCAATTCTCTATATTCATTTGATTTTTCTCCTTGATACTTTTTCTCTTATTTCCAAACTAGACGAAGCTTTCTATAGTATGTGATTTCAATCGCGTCCAGCCCTGGACTCAGCTTTTCAGTGCTTGACTAGTGTACAACAAAGGTGTTTTAACTGGATCAAACTTTTCTATTTCTGTATTAACTACAAGAGACTACTTTGAAGGAATGCAATGAATTATTTAAATTTAAGAGTTTCTGTTACTGTAATATCATTTAAACAAAAAAATAGTAACACCCCCTCCCCCACCCCAATGATTTTTTTAAAATTAACTGTCTAATTTTTTAAAAAAAAATTAATACGTTTTTAATGAAATTTGTCATAGAGTGACATGAGTTTTATTTTATTTTATTTTTTTTGTAATAGGCAATGGAGTATGAGGGTGATATAAATCCACATAGCAGTAGCGATAACAGCGATGTTGATCACACCAAAAAATCAAAGTGTTATTCGAAGTATTCTTTACCCATTGTATTTCATGTAAAAGAGACACCAAAACTTAAAAGGATAAACAGCTTTATTGACCCTGACGATGATGATCAAATGATTTACTTTCAACTCAATGCCTCGACGAAAGCTGTTCTAATTTATTTTCGTCCGTCTAGCATTGACGTTTTTCAAAGGCGCAGAAATTCTCTCTACACTGTGTATGCACGACGAAACGAAAGGCCCACATCTAAACTAAAACACTTCCGTAAAAAGATAACTGTAAATGATTGGTCTGAGGAACTAGGATTCAAAGTATTTATTCCCAAAGGAATTTGTGGTGAAGGTGATTGCTTCCTCGGAATAAAACCACGAAAAGGTTAGTAAACTTCTGTCACGTCACTGATGACGTAGTACATGTTTCAGTCATTGTTGATACAGTACCTGTATCAGTCACTGTTGACGTAGTACATGTATCACTCACATTGTACATGTATCAGTCACTGTTGATGTAGTTCACACATCAGTCACTCTTGTTGTAGTACACTTATCAGTTTTGTTTTCTTGTTGAAAGTTGTTAAGTTACACCTGTTTGTTAATCTGCACTTTCACAGTTTTGATGGGAAAGAAAGTCATTGTTCAAAAACCGTCAAATAAAAGAAAACGAAGCAGTTCTACTCCTCAAAATACTTTTGTTAAAGTTCCACTTCCAGAGATTGAATTGGATGCCATAATCACAGCTATAGGGTGTGCTGTGCAGATAAATGATTTATGGAAAGATGACGTGTGCAATGTAAGAAGTAAATATTGAATTTTTAGAATATTGTGAAAAAAGAGAAAATGAATGTTATGAACATGCAATTTCTAAATGTTTTCTTATAATTTTTTCGTACATAGCACATTTAACCAATCAATGACAAATGTCATATAATATGTAGTATATTAAGACTTTTTTCAAAAAGATTATAAAATGTGTTGGATTAAAAGCAATTTTATTACTCGTTGATTGTATAATAATGTTTATGAGGTTAACAATTGAAAAAAAAATGTGTGTACATGTACGTATTTCTAGCCTTTACCAGTCTCAAACATTAGGGAAGTTATATGTAGATGTCCTGATATATCAGCGAGCCAAAACGTGGTCTACGGCTCCTCGTTCTTGGCTGTGAACGACATTGATTTCCATGGGACTTTCCATAACTTTGACATAAGCAATGCAGTTGTTTATGGGACGATCATAGCAATCCTGCTTATATACACACTTTTACTTTTACTTCTAAGACGAAAAGATACTGAGGACAGGGAGAAGGTGAGCTTTAATAACAAGAGTTCAAGCTGAACATTATGGTGCTTGTTACTGTTACTAAATATAGAAGAAGTGGGTCATTTTTAAAAAGATATTCATAAAAACATTGTATATGTGTTACAAAGAAGGTCCCGAGGAAGACAGGTGCTTGTGCTAATCGGGTACCTTCTATAAATAAAGTATCATAATTATTGTGAAAAAAAATTGTCACATCCACTAAAAATCAGTTTTACTATTTAGTGTACTTTGGGGTTCTTGTGTGACAATGACGTAGATGATGATTATTTCTACCTCGTTACCGTTGTCACTGGGTTAAGAGCAGGCGCGGGCACCCAGTCCAAGGTGAACTTTATCCTGTACGGCGAGTATGGAGACAGCGGGGTTCGAATCCTCAGTGAGGATCTCCAGAAAGTAAGGATTGATTTTTGATCTCTACAACTTTTACAAGATTATGAGAAAAAAAGGATTCATCAAAAGAACTATAAATGAACTATACCTTAGAATGTAGTTTATCAGAACATGTTTTCCCTCTTATGCATTGTATCTATTCTTCATTGAAACATGATCAAAACATTTCCATTTCTTTCCTTGTGAGAATGAGAATGTGAAAATATAACGAACAGAAAAAGGCGAATTTGCCTTTTGAACATCTTGGACAATATTGAATATATCTAACAGGATAGTAGTGAGTTTAATTTGAGACGTTGTGGCGAAGTGACTCTTGCCAAATGAATTGAATAGCCACCTTTGATATCTCCTTAAACACTGTTTTTTGTTTTGCATTTCGCTTAAAAACAGAAACAAAAGTGAACCGAAAAGGAGATATGAATTCTAAAAGCTTAATACCCAGCAATTTTATAGAAAATATTTTTCTTTTAGGGCTTTGCAACTGGAAGTATCCATCGATTTATTATGTCAACACCAAAATACCTTGGAAGATTAATAAATCTGTGGATTTGGCACGACTTCTCGGCGATAGGCTTGGAGCAAAGTTGGTATTTGAGAAATTTAATCTTTGATGATTTGAAGACTAGAGAAAGGTAGGGAAATTGCTTTTTCACATATAATTATCCAAATCGTTGCAAAAATTCATTATCCGACACGTTCATTACACTTTGTTTCTTTCATTGAATAGGTATGTTTTTCAGTGCAATACATGGTTAGCATTGGACAAGGTTAATGGCTGTCCTGATTATTTCGCTTCCGCTACTGATGTGCATGACAGTAATGTATTGTTTTCAGACCAACTATTTCACAACTTTACTGAAAATAGTTTGTGGTTTTCTACAGTCTTTCGCCCTGAGCACAGTTCATTCACCCGTGTGCAACGTTTGTCATGTATACTAGCATTTTTGTTTTTGGCAATGCTTGCGAATGCCATGTTTTACGAAGCACCCGGTACAGATGAAGAAGGAAATCTTAAAATTGGAATCATCTCATTTTCGCTAACAACAGTTTTTACATCACTAAAATCCACCGTCATCACAACTCTGCCCATCACCTTAGTGACACTGATTTTCCAACACACCAGAGACAATGCTACTGAAACAGATAAAGAACACAGCGCCAAACTTATCCGACAAAGTAGAAAACCTCTACCGCATTGGATGCGTCACATTGCTTGTGCGATTATAGTATCATCGATTGCATCTTCAGCTTTTGTGTTGATTATGTACAGCATGCAGTGGGGTAAAACTAAATCGCAGGAATGGCTCTCATCGTTCGTGTTTTCATTTTTTGCGTCTCCATTTTGTATTGACCCTTTGAAGGTAAAGCGACACGTTTATTCTAAGTTTATTATATACGTCATATGTACCATTATTGAATTTCTGAAATTCGCGTCAGCCTTTTTGCAAGATACAGCTTGTTATCTGATCATATTAATTCGATTTTTTTTAAATAGTTGCTTCTTTTCGCTGCTGTATTTTCTTTCATCTTGAAAACCCCTTCCACCAATAGATGTATTGAATTTGATATCACGCTTTTAAAGAAATACTGTGCCTTCCATTCATGCAAGAAATCTAAACATTATGTTGGTAAGTGCTTTAATTTTAAAGACTGTCTCTTATGCCAAAGATTTACAAACTCATGCTAAATTATGCTAATTTGTATGCTTTAGGTAATAATGGTCTTGTATTTATCCAGAAATATTATTAATGATAAAAATAAGCATTAGGTTGAGGTTTATAAGAAATGACTTTTTAGCACTACAACTAAACTACGAAGAAAGACAGTAGACTGGTATTTACAATGTTATATGTTGAATATGTCAGGGTTTTAAGATTATTGCAATTACAACCCTTTTTATTAGTTTTTTTAAAAATCAAATGAGAAATATTTTCCAATAGTTTCTTTCAAAATGTTATTCTTTTAAAGAACTTGTTGGATTAGTTTTTCATAAAACTCAGCCACTCAATGATTCGAAAGCTGATTTTATGCGGAAAAGACACAAAGAGGTTGCTTCAGCAAAAAAAAGTTTCCAACATCTGGTGATGTCATTGGTATTAACTGGAAGTGTTTTAGTAATAGGGTTCAATGAGTTTGATGTCAATGCCTATTACTTTCAAAACAACATCAGAAACTACCTTGTAAGCGATGGATATGGCCAATTCGGATTTTCAGCGGTTTGTATTCTTTTGCGAACTTCCACCAAAGAGGTAATTTTAACATAATAACGGAGGAATTTAAATGGGAAAATTTCATTTGGATGTCAAAAACTTCGGTTGAGAGGGTATATATGCATTGCTGATATCTCATCTCTCTATTATGTTTTTTTTTAAACCCAACGAAAATTATCTTTTTGGAGATAAATCCTTTTGTCAAAAATGTATACTCATGTTTTCGTCAACTCATTCTAATTAATTGCCATACGTAATTAATTTTAATTATCTCTAAAGGTGAATAACACTGATGGTTTCTATAAATGGATGATGACCACGTTTATCCCTACATTTTACCCTTTAACGGCATACAACGGAGAGAAACTGGATATCTTAGCAGAACAGATGTTTGGTGATATGGCAAACATAAGAGTTGGTCCTGGTCGCATAAGGCAGGTTAGAATGCCAGAACGTAAGTATATCTTAACCAACTTATTACAAATCAATGCTTTCTTATAATTCAAAGCTTGCATGCGTCAGGATGTTAAATGTAAATATTAATTTAGGCCATGCTCTCCCACTATAGCTGGGTAGAATTTTGATTCGTACCACAAGAGACCACTTTGAGTATATTCATTGTAAGAAAATCTTTCTTCAGGTATTAACTGTTTGACTTTTTCACCTGAGAATTTGACTACGCTTGCGAAATTTTACCAAAATTCTAAATTGCTATTACTTTGGAACTATTGAAGTACTTTCATTTTTCATATATATGTATGTCTTGGATTACGACATTGCCGATCTTGACCTTGGAAATTTGATCTTTTAATTTACCTTGGCCACATTGTTTTGGTATTTGGTGTTTGGGCTTTCATTTCGTATAACAAATTGTTTCCTTGGCTCTGACCTTCTTTTGAAAACATTTAAGATTGGTCATAAGATTTCAATGGTAGAAGACAAAGCTTTCATATGTCTTAAATGTATTTTTTGTGATAAAGCTTTCCTAAGATACAATTTGACCTCATGTCTTCATGACCTTGAGTTTTGTTTACTTTCTAAAGACTTCAACTTTGCATATACGATTTGACCGTCTAATTCTAGGCCTTGAATAATTCCAACATTTATTACCTGTTACAAAAGTTTTGTATGAGTACAAACGGTTTTACCTTTGACCTTGATCTTGGAGTTTGACATACTTTTGAAAAAGATTTGCCAATGCCATCACTTTGAAAAGGTACTTAGTATGTGTTTGGGGATTTATATTTGTCATGTATTGGCATTTTTTTTGGGGGGGGGGGGTTCTACGATTTTAACCTTATCAATTTGAACTTGGAATTTGACCTAACCTGCCGATTTTAACTTTAGTCATTACTTCTGAACTTCTGGTGTTAGTGCTCTCTCATATTACCTGTACAAGTGTATTCCATGTAACAAGACCTTTCATTGGACTACTCCAAGTAACAGGACCTTTTCGTTGGATACCAAATTTTTTTTTACCTCTTGATATTGATCTTGTAATTGAATAATTGAATGATGGATTAAGCATTTTAGAATTTTCTTCAGCCTTTTTTTTGGATAAATGTACTCATTAATTTAGTCATATTCTCCCCAATAAGCACATTTGAAGCTAACATCTATACTTTATCTATCATATAATGAATTAATGAACCGAGAGGTTCTTAGTACAAAGATCAATACATTTTCAAGAAACACATTTATATTTTTTGTATACATCAAACGTTTTCATTATCAAACTACCTTGTGTCATGGTGGGAAATCATATTTAAGATCTGTTGAATAATCTAAATAGATAGAAATAATGTATTTAAAATATAAAAGAAGAATTAAATTACCAAAATGATGTAAGACACATGTATACAATAAAAGATATCGTTTGCTTGTTTAGGAGAATGTGACAGCACTGTGGTATCCACTGTCTATCCATGCATAAACTCGTATATACTTGCTGCAGAGGAGAAGGGAACTTACTGTCCAAGATGGCAGCAATGGCGGCCCGATTGTTCCGATTCTGGTTTCATCCCCGAGGCTTGGTCCTACATTGATTCTAGTGTCATCTTTGGTACACCTGTGTCTGCTGAATATAACACGTACAGTGGAGGTGGGTACTTCTTCCTCTTGGACGAAGAACGCGACCAATCAAAACGACAAGTTCAAGATGCCAAAGACAATAATTGGATCGACAGACATACAAGAGCTGTTTTGACAGAGTTCACACTATATAACCCAAATACTAATATGTTTATTAATGCAGTGCTTGTGCTGGAGTTTCTCGAACAAGGATTTGCAATGCCATATATTCATTTGCGGCCATTTACGAGATCTCTGACCTTTAACGAATGTCCTACTTCATTACAAACCTCTCTTGCTCTTTTTGTACTATACTTTATTTTCATTTCTGTTGATATTGTGGCGCAGTTGATAACAAACTGTAGAAGTGTGATCAAAAGGGCCTGGTTTTGGGTGGAGGTATTATTTGCCATGATCAGTGCCTGCTGTATGATCCTTTTTGTTGTCCGCAAAAGCATATCAGACAAAACTGAGAAGATGTTTTATGATCAACAATATACTGGAGAAAATAATTTTATTAATTACTATCAAATAATTGTACTGAACATTGCAATCCAGTTTGTATTAGGTATCATTTCCTTTTTTGCCTTTCTAAAAATTTCAAGGGCCTTTCAGTACACCAAGACATTTTCGGTTTTCTGGAGAGTAATTTATAAGTCCTCAAGTCCTTTACTGGGGTTTTCTGTTGTCTTTGGTATCACACTTTGTGCCTTTGCTTCTATGATATATATACTTTTCGGGAAGTCTGTTTACAGCTTCAGGAACATCGCCTCCGTTTTTGGAAGTTTAGCTAACACACTCGTTGGGAGAAATAATGTTGGAATATTAATGAATGTGTCACCAGTTTTTGCTATGTTCTTTTATTTCACTTATGGGGTAACAGTCATTTTTCTGTTGCTAAATATATTTGCTGCAATTCTGAACGAAACAATAGACATAGTGAAAATGAAGAACAGAAGTGCTGAACATGTATTTGGTATCGGCGATTATACTCGTGCCTCCCTAAAGAATATCATTATTTTGATTTCAACAACCGTTTCTGGAAGCAAAGAGAAAAAGAAAGGTAAATATCATCTCTCTCTCCTTTTTAGCAAATTCAACGGTATAATTTAAAAACTATAGACATCGGAAGAGAATTTTGCAAGATATTTTTTGTATACACTGACAGACGAAATTCTTTATGGTGAAGCCAGACAGGACATCGATACATACGCAGTTGTTTATATACTTCAACGACTCTTCTGGGCATACCAGGCGGTAATAAAGGACAAGGTATGGTAGCAGCCAAATCTGTCCCCTTGTATTATGTAGAAAAAAAGAATGCAGTTAAGATTGTTATAGCTTGTAGCTTAGAATTTAAAATTATAATTATCTATTTTAAAACGGGCACTTATTTTGATTCAAAGCTTACACGGACGCCACAAGCGTGTGTAGAAGTGCAACATTTTTCCTAATTTCCTCAATTCAGGTGGCATTTCGTAAAGAAACTCTCACTTCGGGAAACATAGAGCACAATCTTGCCTATCTGAGATTAATGTAAACAAAAACATCTAATACTAATTTATACAATAAATGGTAGATAGTCAAGCTTGTGCTGTATTGGAAAATCGATGAAAATTGTATAAAAATGAGAAAATTCGTAAATTGCCATATCAAAAATCCTTTTTTACCAAATTTTTATTCCCCTTCCCCTTGAAAAGCGGGACGGTATACAGTAATGAGTATGTCCGTCTGTTACACTTTTGGGTACCTATCTCTTATCTGAAACTCCTCTAATACCACTGAATGAAATTGGATGAAACGTTCACAGAATCGTTATTACATATTGCCTTTGTGCACCTCCTTTTGTTTACTTTTTGATCTGACACATATATTGGTTTCCCACAGTAAAACAAGGACGCTGCCATAATATTCATATGAGAGGCAGGATGGGGGTATCATTTAGTGAGAGCATTGCTCACAGTACCTCTAGTTATTTATAAACTGTTTCATCATTCCTTAAGACTACGCAAAGCAGGGGCCAAAAAGGGATTTAAGTCTATCGTGTCCTTTTAAATCATATTAACACAGAAATTGAGGACACTTTTGGACAATAAAGTGAATGCTTTTTTAAAACTTTATGTCGTATTTGTCCATGTGCTTTCTACTTCTTGTCCAACATATTTTGGAATAGGACTAAGTACTGTTATAGACATTGTGATGTTTAGCAGATGTTAATCCTGACGAAATTAAAGTATCGCAATGTTGTTTGGCTGGACACAAAAACACCTAACGGTTTAGGTGGGGTCACAATTGATCATTGGTAAAACTTGGGAAAAATATTTGAATAGTGAACCTCGGGTCTAAGATGACATAGGAGTTGTGGCCTTTGGGTTTATTGATGCATAAAATCATGCTCCTTTAGTTCATTAGATTTCTTCTATTCTATTCTTCTCTATCAAACATAGCGATTTGATAATAAAATCATTCTCTTAAATGTAGCAAGTCAGGAAAGATTTAACAGGGATAAACAACTATGCTATCTTACGAACCATGCCTGATGATGATGATGTTGGCACAGTTGAAGAAAAAACTACAGAAGAAAATATGGAGACAGAGGAAGATAAAGAAATAAACACACATAACCTTTTGAAATACATATGACGAAGTTCTGATTGTTCATCCCTGCCAAGGGAATGTCTCAGAAAGTACAACTGGTTTATAAGTAGAAATATTCCTTTCTAATCATACGTGTTAGATTTGTTTTGATATAAAATAAATACAATCTTTATACAACATATACAAGAGATTTATCACAATTTTAGTTTAATTTTCCAACTGTATTAGACTAAATATTTTAGCTTGATAATCAAAGGAAATAAAAGAAAGAATGGGTGGACTTAACTAGCCAGAAAAAATGCTGCAAATTCAAGTTCCATAAAATGTTATTTTTTTTCCATCATATAAACCCCCTATATCTTAACTGTGTGTTTATGCTACGGATGTGAATTTAAAATGCTCTTTTCGAGGTAAACTAAATAAATATCGAAGGCATGGTGCCTGAAGATTTGTTGAATATCAATAGATAATCAGGGTCATGCATTTTTCATCGTCTGAATACATAGTCAGCGCATGTTTGTCTGCTGTTCTTACGAAAACTGTAGTTGTATATTGAACAAAATAATGCAATTTTAAAAGGAGAGGAGCCGACAAATGTGCGCTCACACTTAATTTAACAAAAAACATGTTCCAAACAAACTTCTCGCTTCCATTGTTACGACTTCGATTGACCTGTTAAATATTACAATTCATCACGTGATGTCCACCTGCGAGTGTACTCTTGGAAACAGTTACATTGTATTCTTCAACCTGACCTAGATGTAAATCACTATGTTTGGTGCCGTTTTCAGAATTTAGCACATTAAATGTTTTAATTTTGCGTGTCCTCACATTTTTAAAAAAAATCATAAAGACATCGCCGTAATATTCCAAACACGTATTCGAATTTCTAGAGAGAGAGATGGAGAGAGAGAAAAATTTCAACAACGACACCGATCGATAGCCCCGCCTCCTATAAATATTGATATCGCGACCTAAAAACCACTCCGGGTACATGTCAAATTCCGGAAGACGACACTAATGTATCCTTGGTTTAATTTTGATTCATGGCAATAAGGCATTGCTTTTGTACATATGTTCTAGCTAAAATAACCATGTATACGTCGCTCTTTCTAGTGGTTGTAATATATTTTGGATTCACTTTATTTTCAACTTGTTAGAGTAGTCTCAAAAAGATCCAAAATAGGGCGTTAAGTCCATCCATTCTTTCTGAGTCAAGTTGACCTTTTGTTTTAAGAATGATTTTTCTCTCCATTGTTAGAGTTATCTCTCTTTGACTATTGATTTTGTATTTTTGAACTCTGTTTTTATTTGAGTAAAAATGATTTTTTTTCCTAACATTGTTTTTTTTTTTTTTGAAGACAAATCACCGATGGACGTATAGCTAACAGATAATACCATGTTAACTTTTTCCCCCTGCCAAAATTTATCACTTTTGACTCTGATTCGTACCAGATAGATGGGGCTAACTTGGTCATATGTTCTGTCTTCTGAACTTCAGTGAGAAATTGTATAAATGTGACGACAATATGCATGATCAAATATTTTATATAATATTAATCTTGTCAAGTTTTTGACATACCTTTGAGCAAGCAAAACAAACACCGATTTTTCTTGCTGAAAAAACCGCTTTTCAGTATGTGTTTAAAAAAAAATCAAAATTAAAACGTACACTTTCCTCTTTGTTACATCCATTTAATTACATGAATAATTAATAAGACTACACTAATACCAAATTAGCCAAAAAGCATAGCTGACAAATTGACATAAAGTCATTTTATGATCAGACAAGTTGACATAATTATGTGACAAGTCTACTAAAGTATAACGCAAAGGGATAAAGAAATGCTCCCAATATTTTAACTTTTTCTAAAAACAGTCATAACTTGTTTGTAGATGAATAAATTGTATTGATTTATACCCTCGAAATACTGCATGCATGTTTCCGACAATCGGGAAACAACAAAAAAGTTACATGTATTATCCAGCAGTTAAAAGTTACGATTTTCCTCAAGAAGCAATATCTTGTACATATTGCACTAAATAGAATATTGATAAGCACAAGACATATGAATCTGATTATTTCAATGTTCTAATAATTATTTATAGAATATAAATTATCAAGATAATTTTCAAATTTCCTCTGTTTTTTTAATTGATAAAAAGAAAGAAAATTTCGTGTTTTCCAATTTATTTACAAATATTTCCTCAAAGGTAAAGGACCTTAGTAAAGCAAAAAATAACCTTTTCAAAATGTTTTAAATCACAAAACCTTAACACAACCATTGTTTGCATTTTTTTTCAATTGATTTACATACATTCATAAAAACAAAATATAATTTGTTGTTAAACGACCCTTTCAAGAATGTTTTAACTCATATGAAGATCCCGGTGGATATCTGCAAATTTTGACCTAATCTGGCCCTCAAGGTCATTGAGCGGTGGGGGATTTTTTGCACGCCAGCATCTACTGAGACACGGGACCTCGGTTTATACGGTCTCATCTGAAGGACCGGTCTCCACGTCCCTACAGTGGGATTCGAACCCGCAATGCAAGAATCAACTCCGTACATCGCGACTCTAGAGAAGACGCCCTACAACTGAGCCATACAGGCGCCTTTTTCATTCATCTTTATTACCTCTATTTGAATATTTGATTTCCAACACATCAATTTCAACATATATACATCAATGAAACTTTTAATAAAGGAAATGTGTTATACATTTTGCTAATATACGCTGTATGAAAACATAAAAAGAACAACTTCCTGTTTGTGTTTCATACACCTTGTCGTGGTGAGTGGCTATACTAGAAACAATTAATGAAAAACATTTTAACACGAATTTTTTTTTCTAAGACTTGATTATGGGTACCCCTAAGAACAGACAAGTAAAAATCGTACTCATTTAAACTGACAAAATCTGTGCACTTGTAAACATTGTCGTATTTGTCTGATAATTCAAACATTTATTCAGATCTGTCATTAGATGTTATTGAACACAAGACTACGGCATGTTGAAAAATTGTTTGTAAAGGGATTCGAGCAGATATGCACTGGTATACATCCCTTTTCGTTACAAGAGTCCACACATTTGCAATGTACTTAACAACTTGCATTTCTTTTGTTGAAAGTGGATATGTCCAAACTGAAGCCAAATGTACAGATGTATTGAGAAACTTGAAGACCGCTAAATCTGTATCGTAGTAAATCAAATCTTTTCATGAAGTATATTTGTAGGGATTAATAGTCTGTTTTACGATCTTCTTCCAAACATTTTTGGACGGAAAACTAGCATTGTCTATGTATGACTGAAGGAATCTTTCTATTGAGTATTTCTGGACAATAGAGATAAGATCTTTGACAAAACCGAATTTTGATGTTTGGTTATGGTTGAGATTCTCGAACATTCATAAAGTAAAAAATTGTTTTGGAGTGAAATTACTATCCATGCAGCAGAGTATCGGTGTCAGCTTGTGTTGGTTGTAATCCGAGCATACTTTGACAAATCCGAATCTGTAAGGTGAAACAAAGATAAAAATTATTGATTTAAAAAAGGACTTAGGAATTTTACCTTCCTCTGAAAGTACGTGTTTTATTTCAAAATTAGATATGGACCCTAAACATATAAAATAAATCAGATCTATTTAAAATGCTTATCAAATCAGGAAAAGGTTAATAATGAACACAGAAGCATTAATAATTTGTATATAGCGATGTATTAATAAATGACGTATCTAGTGACGTTTGATCAATAAATGACGTACCTAATGACGTTTTATCAATAAATGACGTATCTATATAGCTATTGACGTTTGATCAATATATGACGTACCTAATGACGTTTTCTCACTCAATGACGCATCTAGTGACGTTTTACCATCATTATCGTAGCCCTCACGTTTGTCCCAGATTTCACAGTAGGATGCCAGGGTCTCATCCAACCAGAAGAAGACCACGGTCCATTTAGGAAGGCGCCCTGACAAAAATTAAACCACCATCCTCCTTTATGTCTACCAGCACAGTTGCCACCGTCATAGTCAAGGTTCTTGTCGTTGTCATTGTCAAACGTACTAAAAGCCATTCCGGACAGATTATACCTGAGAGGTAGCCAATTAGTTTTAAACATACCGTCACCTGCAGAATAAAAAAACACATATCTATTTACTATTGTTAGTTAGATAAATATTACAGCTTTTATCGTCCCCCCGCTTTCGCGAAAGCGAGGGGACATCAAATTTATCTCATTCGTCTGTTTAGCTTCTTTTTTTTGTCAGTCTGTCCGTTCGTCACTCATTTATTTCCATTAGTTGATATACTTTCAACGATCACGTACCTAAGCTGCCCGTGACATTCCCCGCCAGGAAAAGTTTATAACTCTCTACTTCATTGGACACTGAGAATTGATCGTACAGCTCATATAGTGTTGTACCATTCACCAGTGTGATGGAAATATATAGAGATGAGTTCCTTTCCTTTGTTATCAGATGAATTACGTCATTTCCTGTGATGATGTATGTTTGAAATCAATTGATACATACTTAAATATGCAAAGTTAGTCTTTATATAATTATAAAAGACATTGTGAAAGATGCAAACATCCAACAAAAGGGCGCCTTGAAAAACTTAGATCTAGTAATTCATTTGTCACATACGCAGATTAGGATTGTGATCCATGTGACAATATCCTTATGACTGCACGTACATGGGCGAATCTCTACGTCACGTTAACATTTTAAAAAAAAGATTTTTATCTAAAAATCAGTCAATTTTATTTTCAAAATGATAATAAAAATTATAAGTTAAAGTTTAAAGATGTACAATATTCGTTGGCCACTCACTGGTAGTAATGGTTTTAACATACTGACGTAAATTTCGACGTGACTTGGAAAATTTATTCCATACAATAACATTCAATGCTGAATTGATTTCGTCTCATTTACTAAAATTTGTTTATTAAAATCCATCCAGATGGTCGAAATTAAATAATATTAAAATTCTTGAAATATTAAAAAAAAAAATCAACTAAATATTTTCATCAAAAACTCTAGTGACGGTATGGAAAACCGATAGTTTCCCCGTTTAATTACTTTAAAATGTAAAACAAAACTAAATTTGCAAAAGATAGTTAAAATGCATACATCATACAAAAACCCAAGTGATGAATGTTTCTTTGACATGCATTTCCACAATCAATATCCTGGTTTTTTTTTTTACATACTGGTGGTTAAAATATGCATCGTGACTGTAAGACATCCATAGTACGGTGTGGAATGACAATATAATGGCAACAGAGAATTTATGTTCATTTTTATTATAAAAAGAACTGTCACTAAAACAACATAAAAATACAAAACACGATTTTCTACCGAAAAATGTAACAGAACAAATTAAATTCGTATGCTAATTTCTCAATAATGAATTGAAACTAACAACACCTATCTATCCATACAAACAGTTTCATATTTGATCACCTAACAAACACACACATTCGTAATCAATCAAGTTCCAATGATTTAACAATTTCTTGCCAGGGTGCACAATCTATTCTACATGCCGTTTGGTTACATCTTTTTACATTCATTTGTTAAAAAAATAACACTCTCGAACTTGTACCAAATAACATCTTTTTCTATGTAGTCAGGAATAAGGGTGTTTCCATCATCCTCCACGACACATCATTCCCTATCAATTCTATATCTCTAAATTAAACCATCATCCTCCTTTATGAGTACCAGCACAGTTACCACCGTCATAGTTTAGGTTCTTGTCGTAAAAGTCATTGTCAAAATGATTTTCCTAAAAGCAATATCTACATTGATAACCACGGGCCATTTCAATCTGATTGTGCCAATGATCTTATAATGTTTTCAGAATATCAGTTTTCAAGATAATATTTTAATTTTTTTTTTTTCAATAAGAACATATCTCATGACGTTTTGTCGATAAATGACGTATTCAGTGAAGTTTTATCATCATAATCGTAGCCCCGCTTTCTTAAAGCGAGTGGAAATTAGAAGAAGATCACATGGTCCGTTTAGAAAGGCGGTGTGACATAAATTAAACCACCATCCTCCTTGATGAGTACCAGCACAGTTACCACCGTCATAGTTAAGGTTCTTGTCGTTGTCATTGTCAAATGTACTAAAAGCCATCCCGGACAGATTAAATTTATTAGGCTCCCACATGTGTTTATATATCTCACCTGTGAAAAAAAAACTTTTATATATTTACAGTCAGGTAGGTTTTACAGCTTTTGATCGTCCCCCGCTTTTTAAAAACTTGAAAAAATTGATGCATGACTTTTAGCTGTTTGAAGAGTCAGTTTGTCCGTTCGACACAAATAATTTAACCTTGGTCCTATCTTTTGATTGAGAAGATATAGCGGTTTTTTTTCTCACACATGTATATATCTTGTGATAAGACTTTTATAAATGTACTTTGATGTTTGACCTCTTGACCTTGAAGTTTGACCTACTTTTCAAAAACTTTAAAATTGTGCATGACTTTTAAATGAGAAGAGACAGGGTTTTCATATTAGACCTGTGTATAGTTTTCAAAATCTTTGAAAACACTTTGATAATTTGAAAGACATAGGTGTTTGAGTGAATGTGTGACATTGTTTGTGACAAATCTTTAAATAACACTTCTCATGACTTGTCCTTGAATGAAGAGATTTTCAAATAATGTTGTTTCTTAATAACTTTTGATTGAGAAAGTGAAGGGCATTGTTTGTGACAAGACCTTTCTAAATACACTACACATGCTATGATTTCTGAACCTTTGAGGTTGACCTTCATGATTGACCTTATTTTAAATAAAAATCAACTTCTGTAATAACTTCTGAATGACATATGTAAGGGCGTTTATATTTGACACAATATACCATAAAATATGACATTTCACCCAGGCAGACACCAAAAAAACGGTACTTCAATTCTTTGAATTGGCTTGTTTTTTATATTCATTTATTTTCATCAGGTGATATACTTTCAACCATCACGTACCTAAGCTGCCCGTAACATTCCCCGCCAGAAATAGTTTATAATTCTCCACTTCATTGGACACTGAGAATTGATCGTACAGCTCATATAGTGTGGTACCATTTACCAGTGTGATGGAGATTTATAGAGATGATTTCCTTTCTTTTGTTATCTGATGAATTACGTCATTTCCTGTGATTAAGTATGTTTGAAATCAATTGATAGATATTTTATATTCCAAAGTTAGTCATTTTATAAATATATCCTAAGAAAGACATTGTGAAACGCAAATATAAAAATATAGACTGCCTTGAAAAACTTAGATATTGTAATTTATATGTCACATAAGCAGATTAGGGTTGGGATCCATGTGACATATCTTCATGACTGTACGTCAATGGGCGAATCTCTCGTTACGTTAAAATTAAAAAAAATGGACTTTTTTCTAAAATTCAGGCAACTCTTTATTCAAAATGATGGTAAAAATTATTAGTAAAAGTTAAAAGAAGTAAAATATTCGTCGACCACACACACTGGGAGTAATGGTTTAAACTTAATGACGACATTTTCAACGTGACGTGGAAATATTCATACCTTACGGTAACATTGAATGCTAAATTGATTTTTTAAATCATTTACTAGAATTTGTGTATTTAAATTCATCATGATGGTTGAAATTAAAAAAAAATATTATAACTCTAGACAGATAAGAAACAATCAACTAAATATTTTTTATCAAAAACTCTAGTGACGGGATGGAGAAGTGATAGTTTCCAGTTTAATTACTCTAAAATGTGAAATAAAGTTATTTTTGCACAAGACAGTTAAAATACATATATCATACAAAAAAACGAAGTGATGAATGTTTCTTTGACATGCATTTCTACAGACAATATCCTGCTTTTTAACAGACTGGTGGTTAAAATATGCATCGTGATGGTAAGACATCCATAGTACGGTACGAATTGACAACAGAATGGCAGCAGAGAATTCATTGTTTACTTTATTATAAAAAGAACTGTCACTAAGAACTACATCAAAATATAAAACATAATTTTCTACCGAACAATTTAACAGAACAAATTGAATTCGTATGCTAATTTCTCAATAAATGATTAAAACTAGCAATACTTCCAATTTATATTTGATGACCTAGCAAACACACATGCTCGTAATCAATCAAGATCCGATGAGCCATAATGCACAATCAATTACTAAATGCCGCTTGGTTACATTTTTTGGTTCACTTGTTAAAGAAAAACACTCATTTTAAATTTTTACCAAATAATATTTTCACAAAGCGACCTAAAATACCTATTCTTAACAACGCATTTTTAACTTCAAAGAATCAAGATCTACATCCAGAATAATACCTGGATTAGTGTTTTCATCTTAGTCCACGACACATCATTTCCCTTTCAATTAAGCATCTCCATTTGTGACCTTCTTCGTCTGAGAATCTGCCTCTACTGTTACCTCAACAACGTAACTGTTCATGCTAGCATCATAAGACTGCTCAAATTCGTTTCATCCTCTCTTATCTCATGAAATTTGTATTCTGAACGATTAAAGCAAACACATTTTGTTACAAAAACATGACGGACATCTTGTTCTGATCCAGATCTCATTAACGTTTGACATCACCTGATGTACAATCATTGTCCCTGTAACCTTAATCTGGGCTGGTAATATCATGTACATAGAACATATGGAGATAACGAACAGTATTCAAGATCAAACGACCATAAAACAATACAAAACAGGAGCACAGCAAACACGGACCTCCAACACATCAGAAGTGGGATCAGGTGCCATAAAGGAGTGAACATCTTCTGCCGACCCGTCAAACCCGCCGTGCGCTCCTTGTCATGATCGGGAGATAACGAAAAAAATCCGTCGTCAACTAAGGGTATAAATAATTGACCAACAATTCGTATGAAAATGTCAGTCAGCATTTGACTTAATGACAAGGTCCCTGTATCGACCATAGAACTTATGAAATGATGACTTTAAACGAGACTGCTTATATTTTTGTCTCGTCAACTTGTTTGTCAATGATTACATTGTTTTAGAAATTGTTCATACGTAAAGCTTGATCCTGTGTATTGAAGCAACTGAGATATATAGACCCCGTAACTATGCAGCAGATGAAGGTGTATTGCTGTTTAAGTAAGGGAAGTGACGATCGAAAAGTTCAAGTCATCACGTTTATCATAGAGCTTGGTTGTTAGATTACCATTAATATCTTTTTCAAGTAATATATCCAAATATGAAGCAGATGTGCCGGACTCTGTGGTATCTGTTATCGCAAGAGTTTGGTTTTCAAGATAAAGAAGAACATTGAGCTCCTCGGGAGCAATTTCTCGATATAGATCATCGAAGTTGGAAATATTCCTCCCATAACTCACTATTCTATCACCGGTTCTCTTTACTGTTGGCCAAACATCATTCGGAACCCCTTTACCGTGTCCAGATTCTGCAAAATGCCATGTAGCATCCTGCAAGTTAATATTTTGAATGGATTAACTTCTTGAATAGGGAAAAAATTCTTGCGTGTTTGACCATAGCTTAAAAAGTAATTTGTAGACATTGCTGGATAGTTTTGTTTCAGTTGATGAAGAACTGGATCTTGATGTGCCCACAGAGCTGCAGCGTCATGGCATGTGCTGGGAGATAATATACAGAAAGACTTTGCTTCCATTTATGTATAAACCATGCCTGTATGCAGAGAAACGTACTGTCTTAATGCTCCAAAGTGCATGCATTGTACCTCATTTGCCAACTTACAGGCACAATTTTCAGAAAAAGCAACATGTACCATTTATTCTGAGTAAGATAATACTTATTTCGTTGTTTTTGACTACTGCGTATTGATGACTAACTTTAAATACATGTCTACAAAGCTTTCTTTCCAATAAGCTGTTTGTTTCCTGTGGTAACTGGAGCAATATGAATGTTTCTTTTGCCTTAATTCTTACATTGATGTTTTGGACTTCACCATTTGGCATCTCTAGCTATTTTCTGCTTTTCAGTTTTGTTAAAACATTTTGGAACAACTATCTGTGCATTTGCTTTTCATTAAAGGAAACTCAATCTCTCTATCTTAACAATTCTTGCATTCACTAATCACTATACATAATTTTCACTTGCTCTACAACAGACTCTAGCATTAGGTCACACGTCTCAATAATGCCATTCTCTGCCAGTCCTACTGATCTTGACATATACTTTGTTTTCGTGTTATTTACATGAACATGTGTCCCGCCCTGAACACTTGGTTTGAAAAATGTAAAACGGTCTTAATCTACAAAATGAATGATATGGCATTTTCAGATCAGGGTGACATTTCAAAAAAATTCTCTCCTTTTTCTGGGCTGTTTTCTGGCAGCCCTCTCACCAAGGCTTTTAATAGACGACCACTTCCTGCTGTCTTATCTTATTTAATATCTTAAAGGTGCATGGACACAGATTTGAAGTTAATATTTACTGTATGATATTTTAATAGATTTTTTCAGCAAATCCATGGCATTCTATTGAAAGAAGAAAATTTAATTATATCGATTTTAACTTTTTTTAAACTTAGAAACCTTTAAAGTAAATTTTAATAAAGTGTTTCCGCCCCGTCACGCAAAGCTCCGTACCTAACATAAGGAATTTGTATTAACTAATTGGCTTGTAAATTATTTAATGATGTAACTGCTGGTTGATTGGAGCTGAATACTCACATTCACACAGAAAATAATGTTCGGTACAGAAAATTTAATTGACTACACATGAAAAAAGAGATACGTACGTGCAGTGTTTCAATGGCAGCCATCATGAAGAGTGTATTATATGTGATTCACTCATGATATCATCAAAAGTTACACTGGCAGGAAATATGCAAATGTGGATCATTAGGTATCATCAGTGCAGAAAATAGGTGTGTTGCGGTATAGAGCACATTTCAAAGGACAGACATTTCAGGTTGTTTAAAAAATTCAGCACGAGTGGTGTTTACACAACAAACATGGTACCGGTATTATAATGAGAGAATAATTGACCATATATAAATCATTATGATAATTTTCCTTCGCTTTTACTCAAAAATAGCATGGATGCCTATATTTGGTCAAATTCCCGCTTTGCACACATTTTGTTTGTTCCTGATATTGAAATTTGTGCAAAACGGGAACAAACCCTATATTTGACCACCAGTATGTGGTATGTAATTAAATTCTGCCATTACGCATGCGTCAGCATTTATTTTGTATAAGCTTCGTTTAGCACTTAAATAGAGATAATGCAATGGAATTTAATGCGCAGTAAACTAATTTGATTTAAACTCATTCGCATTAACTTCCCCATGTGAACGCAGTTCAAATTTAATTCGCAGTAACTTACGCTAAATTCAAATTAAATTCTTCGAGTGAACATAACACACAAAAACACGAAGGAGATGAAGATATCGAACACATATTACTTAGTGTCTTTTTTTCAAGACTGATGTGAACGAACAAACATTATTATCCTCAAATGATACAATAAATCAAAGATCCAATTTAAATGATATCTTAACTTACCAATCCAAACATTGTGTTCCGGAGCACCAAAACCGCTTTTATAATCCGCCCAATTCCTGTCAAAGCTCAGATCTCCATTTATACGTTTTTGGATAATCTTGAAAAGAAATGCAGTAAATAATGCTTATTTTGACAAGCATCGTATTTTGAATTTTGATCGAATAAGCGCAGAAAAATATGCTTCCTGGCTCTTAAAAAAAACTTATTAAAAAGCCACGAATTCCAGTTTACATGTCATGAAGCCATTGCTTTATAGATAAAGTACCGTCCACCCGCCTTCCTCTGTATCCATATCACAGTAAACTGTAACAGGACTGGTAATGGTTCCGTAAGGGTAAATCTGATACACGTCTGAATTGCTGTAACCAGCTTTGCAAAGGTCTTCACAGTCAGAAGGTAATGCTGAGAAAAAATTGAGATATGTTCATATGACAGGATCATATGACAGCTATCCAACTATAATCAACTGATCGTTTGTTCTGTCATAAGAGATATTTTCTTTCGAATTTATATATCTTTATAATTCTTTTAGATTGTAAGGAATGACACTTATTATTCGAGGAAAACCTGGTTTGGGTCAGTAAACGATTTTTATTATCCTGTAACGATTAATGGCTTTGTGTATTCTGAATATTCAAGTCGGTCTTTGAGGATCTGCTATTGGCTGAAGAAGATCACGTGACATAAAGAAAAGTTGTATAAGTGAGCGCCTCTAAGCTGTAGAGTTCTCTACGTCCAAGAAGCAGAGAGAGAAAGACCGATATGTCTGTGATAATTTTAGTCAGGTGGATTGCCTAACATTGAGTCTTGTCACAATTATTTTAACAATACGAGAATGCCTGAACTATGAAGGCTTGCCACAATAAATTGTGTGACTAACAGGCCGACCATAGAGGGAGGACAACATCTGAAGCCTGTCTGGTTACCTACCTAGACAGCGTAAGTATCTGACGGAAGAGGATGAATGTAAGTCCTGAATAAAGACAATCCAGTATATCTACTGTTGTCAGAGGCTGACCACTAGGATAAATATTTATCATCATGACTGACAGTACGAGCCTGAATAAGGCAATACTGGTGTCAGTCCGGTGGCATTTGTTGAAACCACTGTTTCTTTTGTAAATATAAAAGGCTGACCTTCAATTATGATTTTCCCCTAAGTAAGGGAAGAACCACATGATCCGTATATATTTGCAGGCCAATCATTTGTACAATCATTATAAGTGGAATATTGTTTATTATCAACCAGGTATATATGGGCTACTCAACACGATACAATCAGCTTTGAAGACTATAAAGCGTAAAATGACCAAAACGAGTTTATACTCGAATACTTTGGCCAAGAATTAGATTTAATTTGCTATCCCGACAAACCTGAGAACGTCCTGTCAAACAAAACACTGTAAAATTAGGTACAATAGCAGAGTTTCGAAAATTATTCAAAAAAATTATGATACAGGGGAAAATTGAATTCATTAAAATTTCTTGAAACAGATATAACTGGAGTTTCTGTGGGACGTGGAGACTGGTCCTTTGGATTAGACCGTTTAAACTGAAACCCTGTAGGTGCCGGCAAGTAAAGAGATCCCTCACTGCTCAATGGCCAAAAGTGCTGCTCTCCTCCGGCAATTGGTGGCGTCTTCATAAGAGTGAAAAATTCTCTAGAGGAACGTTAAGCAACATACAATCAATCAATATAACTAAAGGCCTATATAGAAATTCTTGGTTTGATTGTGTAAAAACTAAAGTAAACATATAATACATACAATGATGCGAATAATATCTTCAGTTGGCCTCGTCCGACATTTCGGGCCTGATGATTTTCTTGTGTAGACGGCATTTCTTTAACTGAGGGCTGTATCCCAGGAATCCACACGAGCTTTGACACAGGACAGCACATTCTATCAACGAATCAGAGTTGTATTCTCCCATGAGCTCTTTATTGGATATCTTATCAAATACCAGGATTGAGGTATATTTCCGTGAAATAAAAGTAGCTTTGGACACGATAAAAAAGACAACATAGAGTACCCATAGACTACTCATATTGTATTCTGCATGTAACACTTCCTATTGCGTTTCTGTGGTAATTAGAAAATTGGTCTTTTGGATGTCATGTTTAAATATGATACGCTGAAACTGATTTGTTAGTTGATACGTATTCATGTTTCACTATATTGAAATATCGATTTTGTTTCATTCATATTCATAATTAGAAATTAAACTTCTAAGACCAAGTATTGAAGTAAAAGCTGTCGTTTTAAATATAACTGACACACAAGCAATAATACATATGTATTTGCGGTCATTTTGCGAGTGAATTCGCGAAGGAACTATGAAAAAATTGAAAAAACACGCATCCTCTATGTATGATTAGTTTTATTTCAGAAATAAAATTAATTTATTGGACAAATGCTTTAAATTTAATAATTAAAGCAATCAATCGATATCGAAAACATATAGCTGAAACACAAATTGGGATTTTCCCAAAATAAATACTTATAGCAGACCCCCCCAACACATACGTACTTCTTTTGAAAAATAGACGGCGAGATAGTCGCACAGTCCTCGTCTACATGTGGATACCGAGCATGCCTATATTTTCCGCGCGAATTATTGACCATGTTAAAGTTTTGCTTGCCTTATAAGTCATGGAATTTAAGTTCTAGCCTTACCGTGTGTACACCCTTCATACACGTTTTTTCGAGCCTTACTAGTCTGACTTATGAATAGAACACTGCTATTTCTTACCGTGTGTACAGTGATGAAGATAACACAAAGTATATTCGGATGCGCTGGTTGGTAAAACTATGATTTCAGAGTCCTAGCTAGTAATCCATTATTCCGTTTAATAATGCGAACTGTATATGGTTCAAAAGCACATGGAATATATGTAAATGTTGTTTATAATATAGTAAGTCTTGCCTTAACGTGTGGACATGAGAACCGTGAATCCTGCAAAATGTAAGGTTTTAGACTTATAAGGTAGGCCTTACCGTGTGTACCGGCCCGAAGCTAAACTTGCACGAATGATGTATCAAAGGATGAACATTCTCAAACAAGCTTCAGGTCCTGGATTTGAATTTCCCTTTCTCGATGAGTGATTAGTTAGAAATTTTCGAATGAATCCTTTACCAATAAATTGCAATCCCTATCAGATCAAAATTATATAAATGTTGCATCTAGGGATGTGCACTACCAGATTAATAGTTTTATGAGATTAATATCTTTCTTAAAATAATGATTTTCAATTGATTTCTGTATTTTCTTGTTACCTATATCTGTCGGAGTCAAGTTAGTGAGAACAATGATACATGTAGGGCATTATTGACAAACATTACAAAGATTGAGACCACTAGATTTTCTGACGTCAGCATAAATTTGCATGTAAATAGCTATCTGTTTACTTTACCTACTGCTGAATGAGCCGCAATGCATTGTGGGCTACTACAAGTACCCAGCTGTGTTGAAAATAAAGGGCGACTTAAATTGTCCCTTATTTTCAATTCTTTTTTGAGATTTGTGAAAGGAATATTTAAAATGATGTATAATCTTTCATTTCTATGCTCACAATTACAAAATTTGCTTTATGAAGCCTTATATCAACTTATAATACATCGGCCTAAACCATTGTTAAAAGAGACGTAGGTGCTATCATATCGATACAACATTGAGTGTTTTCACACGAGATATACGTGTACAGGTCCTTGGTTTTAGGTCCTTGGTTTTAAACAGCAGGAAAAGGTGTGCAATTATTATTTAACCCCTCAATATTATCAGAAAGTGTTTTTTTATATACATGCAAACGTCAAAGCTTTTGTACGGTATTCGAAGCAACTATAAATCATCTTAAACAACTCCAATATTAAATGTGAGCATGGAGCATTGTTTTTAGAATATAATCTTTCAATTTCGGTCTTATAAAGTGATAAAGAAACTCTTCAGTTTTTCCTGTAACGAGTTAAATATTGTGCAGTAAACCGACGAAACCACGTATCGCCATTGAATCGTACGCACTGAAATGCTTTGGGACTCATTCACTTGATTGGAGAACGGGTGTGACGAAGACATAATCACGTGCTGAAAACTGCCTTCCATATAAGGTAGTGGTCTCGACATGTTACAGTAGTGCGCCCAAGAGGGCATTACTGACAAACAACCAAGTCCTAAAAGTCTCTTTGACCAAAGGATATCTTAAAAGAAAAGTATTCTTATAATTACAAAAAAATGATTATCCTATATAAGGCAAATATTAATGATTAAAGGTAACATGGTCATCTGACTTTCGCAGTGTGAAAAACAAGAGGCCCAAGGGTCTTAATGGTCTTCTGAGTATAATATAACTTAGAGGATCCATAGATATAAAATGAACTGGTAGATGAAGCTTTGTCGCCAAAAAGCAAGAGAAATAGGATGATCAGGATCAATGAAATAATGAGACCAATATTAAATAAATGTAACAACTCATAGATAAAGTACTAATTTGTCCCCATCTATCCCTATCAACATTAAGACTATTAACAAACTATAGGTGCTTTTGTACTATTTTTTACTCCAATTTGTAATCTCTCAAATTAGCCTCTTTTGGTCTTTTAGAAAATCAATCCGGATGAGACCGTATAAACCGAGGCCCTGTGTCTCAGTAGGTGCTGGCACGATAAAGATCCCTCCTGGCTCAATGACCATGCGTACCGAGTATAGGACAAAATTTGCAGCTCTCCACCAGCAATTGGTGGCATCTCCATATGAGTGAAAAATTCTCGAGAGTGACGTTAAACAATAAACAATCAATCAATGAATGTTGAAAATTTAAAAAGTTATTTTTATCTTATTTTTATTTATCTACTGACTACGGTATTATTTACAAGTCTATCTGATCATTTTAAAACTATGAAAGCATTTTTTGTATTGTAAGCTTCCTTAGTACCCTTTTAAAACTCTAATCAGCTTTCAGTGTTTTCATCCCGTGTAAATTCACTGTATTAATTTTTATCAAGACTACTCATGACATTCGTCCACTTTCAAAAAAGATTTTTTAAAGACTGCATTAATTATAATGATTTTAGCCTCACCCCTCAGGGGATAGTGAGTCTAAAAATGACAATCTTTGTTTCCCTTCACTCATAGACGTCAAGTTAAACGGTTTCAGAGAAGCTAAAAATCTTCAAATGTTAACGAACGACGGATGACGCAGGACGACGGGCAAAAACAGACAGCAATAGGTCACCTGAGTGACTTAATTGACCTTA